CACAAATATCCAAAGAACAAAGGGAATTCCAATCCCGGTTTCAATTATAAAGGAATAGATTATTTATATGGGAAAAAATTTAATTTGGCGTCGAAATACACAAGGTACTGTAATCACTCATTAGTGTAATCGGATTGCACTACCAATATTATTTATTAAAAATTTGCTACTTTCCTTCAAAGATGCCACACCTAGTTTCCTTGTAATTGATGCAATCGGTAATCAATAATAAAGAATTTTCTTCGTCTTAAGAGAAAAGCTCCTATATAATTACCTTCTGGAGCGACTCGTAAATTTTGTGTATTATCTATTAATTTTCAGAGTCGTAAGAGAATTTCCTTTTACAGTATATATAGTATTTAACAGATTAGCCTAATTACTCATGAAACTTCAAGAGCAGTAAAAGATTACTAACCCAAAATTAAATTTAAATAATCGAAAATTGAAGTATTGGACGAGTTTCTTAAATTCCAATCCTTTGACGGTAAATTTAGTCCTACCACACATTTTTATTCGTGCCTCGATAGGGAGGCTAAAAACTTTAAAGAGATTGCCATCGATAACGAAGATATTTCATGTACTGTATTAGCAATAGAATATTTGGGTGTAGTGATGTTTGGGCAGTTTAAGGATGTGTGTGTGATGTGTTGGAAAAAGGCTAGCAAAGCACTGAAGAAATTAGTTGATGAAAAGGAGTTTGAAGGCGTTTTTAAGAAAGCCAGAGATTGAATTTTAAATTGGGTAGGAACACATTAACAGATGCACGCTAAAGTTAGTGGTGTATAAGTTAGTACCAATATTAAAAGAGAATTATCATTCATTGTATTCTTACAATTATTAAATAAATTTCAAACCTTAAATAACAAACTCGTCGTGTTGCCTCGTTAATGAGACTATTGGAAAAATCGGAACTAGTGATTTCTAGCTGAAAGTCAATGTTTCCAAAAGTTTATTGGTTGAGAAAAAGTTAGCAAGTACAGTAAAGTATTCAGAATCAGTTCATAACGTATAACCCGACTAATTCGGAACATTACTTACAGTACGTACCTTCTAATTAAACAAATAATGAAATTTTCCGATTAGGCTTACAATCTATGATGGCAAGAAGATAAAATCAAGTTTATTTCAAAAAAGTGAATACGTAGAAATATTTTCTGGAAACAACTCACTTTCTAAAAAAAAAAAAAGGTACAATGAAACTATCTTCCCTGGGATCATAATTATCTAATAACTGTATACTAGCTTTATCTTACCCACTGTAGAGGTCGAATAAAAATATTCATGTTAACGGAGTAAACAATAAAAATGTTGTATTCTAAATTTAACTTAAAATCTAAATTTAAAAATATATATCGTTGAATTTTAGAATCTCATTTTACATCACAAAGAAAACAATGGTTTAATTTATCATCTACAATAAAAAAAATAAATACGCAGACACTTTTCATTTTAATATAACGTAATACATTTTTTTTAAAAAAATTTCCTTTACGTGTTCGATATACAAACTACTGTATATAGATTATATTTAATATATGATTTTATTTCTTATTTTATAATTATTCTTAATTAAGAGATGTTTGATTTTTTTGATAAATAAATATTATAAAATTAAAAATATATACAGATAAGATTAGATGTAATTTTTTGTATCGTTAGATTTTTCTAAACCTCAAAATTTATAAATAAAAATAAACATTCGAAATTATATTCTTTATTGATTAAAAAAACGCCGCAATTAATTATCAAACAAAAAGCTCAAACCATAATCTTAATGGAAGAAGGATATTCACTATGTGCAATTGGAAACCATCTAGGTGTACATCATTCTACTATTCTCCGATTAAAAAAAAGATTACAGGCAGCATTAAAAGAAAACCAGGATCTGGTCAACCTCAAAAGTTATCCAAACAAGAAAAACATGAATGTGT